ATGACTTACATGGGCCATGGGATGGAGGGGTGAGGTGTTCACAGAGGTACATGTGAAGTGGAGGAGTAGCTGTACACACAGCTCTCATCTCCCTGCAAAGATCCTGGGATGCTTTCTAGGTCTAAAATTTAGCCTGAAGCACAATTCCAGCTCTTTGTGCTTTGGAGAGCCACCTGCCAGGCTGGGGTCCCTAGGCCTTGTCCCCCAGCCCTGATTCCCGGGGCTGGGATGAGCAGGGAGGAGCTGCTGGGACCGCAGGGATGCTCGGAGCGCGGGCCCTGGGGCGTGCCCAGGCAGCCGCGGCTCTATCGCTCCATCTGCAGAGACACCGCTGCTCGCAGCAGCGGCACGTCTGCGCCTCCGAGCGGGGGGTCCCCCCCCAACTTTTAATAATCACCAGGCAGATATGTTCAGGCTTTAATAAAGGGGATGCGATAAGATCACTCCTTGCTGGCAGGACTGCTCCTCGGTGCAGATAGATGCATGTGGGGGCTGGGCACGGGGGACAGTGCTGCATCACTCAGTGTCCCAGCCATTAACCCCACCGTGCCCAGCACCCAGAAAGGCCCCACAGAGCTGAGGGGACCTCTCTCAGCATCCTGCCTCGCCCTGAACCCTCCTGCAGCCTTGGGGGGTGTGGTGATGCCGAGGGCAGAAGTCCGTGTGGGTCCAGAGGTTGTAGCCACTAACTCTCACTGACAGCTGTGCACTGGGACCACAGGGACATGAGAGCAGCATCCTTAGGGCAGTTCTGGGGTGTCCCAGTGAGGGGGTGCCAGGTTGAAGGACATCCCCATGCATTGCACCAAAGCTGCTCACAATCCCAGGCCTCTCAAAGTGCCTTGGTGTGTGTCACACTGATGCCACATCCCTACCCCTCGGCAAGCCAACCCATTCCTGCTGACCTCCAGCTCTGTCTCTCTGCAGAACCACAATGACAGCAAAGTCATCCTCTACGAGGCTGAGAACTTCCAGGGTCACAAGTTTGAGCTGAGTGACGACTATCCCTCGCTGCAGGCCATGGGCTGGGGCAACAAGGAGGTGGCATCCATCAAAGTGAACGCCGGAGCGTGAGTGCAGCCAGCGGGGCAGGGGCTGGGGGTGCCAAGAACAGAGGCTCAGAAGCACCTCCTTGCATAAAACACCTCCATAAACCCCACAATGTGGAAGGGGGACCCCCTCAGAAAAGGGATGCATTCCTGCTACTTTTTCCTTGAAAATACAAGCCATTGAGTATTTTCTGTCCCTCTCCTCCCAGGGCAAGCAGAGGGATGGGATGGGATGGGATGGGATGGGATTGGATGGGATGGGATGGGATGGGAAGGGATGATTTGGCTTGGGGCTCTGAGCCAAGGCTCTGCCTGCAGGTGGGTGGCATACCAGTACCCAGGATACAGGGGCTACCAGTACGTGCTGGAGCGGGACAGACAGAACGGCGAGTTCAAGAAGTACAATGAATACAGCAGCCAGGCCCACACCAACCAGATCCAATCCATCCGCCGCGTCCAGCACTGAACTGGGGCAGGGCTGTGTGCCCTGCAGCCTCCAGGCTGCTGTGCAATAGACCTCTATCCGGTAGCAAATAAAGGCATTTGTCAAAAAAAGAGTGCTCCTGCCTCTGCTCTGCTCCTCAGGGGCTGCCATGCTGGGAGGACTGTGGTGGCAACCTGGAAGGTTTCCCCTTCCCCAGGCAGCTTTGGGCTCGTGGCCAGCTCCACCCTGGGCTGAGCTCTCTGCACCCACCTCTCATCCATGCACAGTTCCACTGCTGTGGTGCTCTGGCTGGGAAAATGGGAACTTGCTGGGCAAAGAGAGCACTGGATGTGGGAGAAGGCACCAAGAGGGTTGTGCCCCAGGAAGAGGCATCCATCAGGTTTGTACCCTGGGATGTCCTCCCAGCATCAATGCCAGGGAAATTGGTTGCTACAAAGTCTGCCAACTCAAGGTCCCCTTCCTCTGCACCGCTCTGGAAGAGAGAAGGGGGTCCCTGCCTGCTGTGGACCTGGGAAGGAGGAAGAACATAGGGGCCATCTGGGGCAGGACGGGACTCTGCCAACACATGGGGCAGCCACGGCTGTGTCAGGCTTGGGGGCACTGGCACAGAGGGGCTGGGCAGGAGGTGCAGGTGGCTGTGCAGGGGAAGGAGGCCTGGGATAGTGTTCCACAGGTGGTAGGGGCCTGGCTTGATGCTCGCAGGTGTGTGTGTCCCCCTCCTCCAGCCTTGCCACGCCAGCATATCCGTGCCAGTATCCGGCTCCGGGACACCGGGAGCCCCACCCAGCCTCCTCCTCCTCCTCCAGCACCCTTTCCCAGCCTCCTCCTTTTCCATCTGGCTCTGAACCTTCCTGGAGTGTGGGCCACCCATCCCAAGGTGCTCCCTGCACCCAGCACATTGTTTCCTCCTCCTCTCTTCCTCCTTGCCTCCTCTCCTGCTCTGGCACCCCAAAGCTCTCCTGGGGCACAGGCTTTTGGTCCCAAGGTGCTCCCCACATCCAGGACATGGATGCATGATGGAACAGTTCTGAGTGCCTCAGATTCCTGGGCTCCCTGATGCCCACCCTGCTAAAAACATGCTTGGCCCTGAGAAAGGGAGTGTCCCAGAAAGCTGCTGGAACACTGGGTTGGGGGGCAGTCTGTGCACAGCCCTTACCCAGCAGCGTGCAGAGACCCCAGCCCGGGTGTGTGTGTCAGCCTGTGCATTGGTGTGTAATGGGTGTGGGTGTGCGTGTGTGAGAGAGAGAGAGAGCTGCACTCAGCTGAGCACACACACGTTTCCCTGCATGCCCCCTCTCCCCTCCACCCCATTGTTGCTGTGCAGAAGACCCAGCCCCTGTGTATCCCCATCCCACACGGCATCCCGGCTGCATAGTGCCCCCCAGCCCGCGCCTGTCTCCTGTGTCCCCAGAGGCCCCACCCCGGCCGCACGGCCTCTCCCCCAGCACAAACACATTCCGGCACACCTGGCCAGGCGCAGCCAGCCCAGGGCCACGTCAGCTCGGCTCCGCTCCACACCGCCGGCTCACAGGTGAAGCTTTCCCGGGCACTGCACACAGCGCTGTGATGGGGGGGCAGGGGTGGGCTGTGGGGGGCATTGCAAAGTCGTGGGTCCTTATTGCTCCACCTGGGGTGGGAGGAGAGCACTGGAGTGGGGGGCGGGGGGCAGACTCCTTCTTGCAACTGGAGGGACCTGCAGCTGCTTCCAGCTGGGTGTTCCAATGCCCGGGCTGCATCCCCAGTAGCCCCACAGACCTGGAACCTCATCTCCTAGATCCCCCTCAGACCCACAGCCCAGTCCCTGTTCCCCCATGGACATGGGCCCCTATTTCCTGGATTTCTCACATACCCTGCCTTCCTCATCCTCTGGGTCTGCCCCAGCTCCCCCATGACCCTGGGGTCACATCACTCAGGTGTCCAGAGCTCCACATGGACACAGGGCTTGCCAGCTTTTAGGATCTGACATTCCCTGTCCTTCTGCACACCTCTGACCCCAGATCACTCAAAGACCCCAGTCCCCTCATATCCCACTTTAAGCCCTCCACCCACTGGCTTTCCCAGGGACCCAGGAGTCTCCATCCCCAGAGCCCTCCAAAGCACCTCCTTCTCCAGCTCCTGCAGCCCTAAACCCATTTCTGGCCTGATCCCTACTGCACCCCCTGCCCGCTCTGGGCTGTCCCTCAGCCCAGGCCCCCCTCCATGCCCTCCACTCTGCAGTTTGCTGTAGGAGTGTCATGGTCTCCCCTTGGGCTGCCAGAAGAGGACAGGTGGTGGGTCAGGCACACCCCCACCTCACCCCGCTGTCTCCGGGGCTTGTTTTCTGTTGCCTGCGGTTTGTTTCAGTGACTCAGGCAGCGAAAGCAAGTCTGGGAGGCTGCGGAGCCACTGCGGGGAGAGCTGCACCTTGGGGGCTGGGCAGGAGAGGGATGCAGGGAGCAGCCAGGGCTGGTGGGCTGTACAGAGCTGGACACCCCCTGAGAGGTTCAGGGGAGATCAGGAGACAAGCTGGGGGAAGAGAAGCTTTTTAAGGGCTGTTACCTCCAAACAGGATTGCTGGGGAATTGCTGGGGAATACCATGGTCTCTGCTCATGTCTCCCCTTGCCAACATCTGCTCTTTGTCCATGATGGAGATGGGCAGCAGAGGTGGAGCACCTGGAGCAGAGGTGGAGCTTGGTAACCAAGAGACCCCCTGTTTCCTAAAGACTTTGGACACCCCCTGCCAAGAGGAGACACCAGCTCTGTTGGGCTGTGCCCCCTGATTGAGCATTGCTCCCCTTGGGCTGCAGCTTCTTATGCCGGGCAGGCACTGTAAATAAAAACTGCGAGTCTGGCATGGCTGTATCCTGATTTCCATTAGGTCCGTATCTTGTAATGATCACTTTCCAAAAAGGCAGCTAAATCCAGCATGAGAGCTCATCCTTTTGCCAGACATCAGTGAAACACTGCAGAAGAAGTTGTGAGCTTGGCTGTACAGTGTTGGACTCACGGAAGAGAACTGGTGACAGCTGCTGGCACACTGCCTGGCTGCCTCAAGCTGTGGGATCCTGTGGGGGGTCCACTCCTGGCCTGGGGGACAGAGACTGACAGCACCCCACAAGTGCATATAACAGCTGGGGCCATGGGTGACAGGGAAAAACCTGGCCAAATGTGTCTTTTTGGAGCTGGTATCACATTTCTCTGTCATAAGTTTCTCCATTAAATGTCCTCCTGTCTTCAGAATGTACCCAGCTCTGCTCAGGACAAGCAGATGAAGAAGGGGCCATCCTGGTTTGTGTGGGTGTTGGGGATTACCCAGCGTCCATGGATCCTAATAAAGATGTGCAGCAGGTTGGGACAGGGCTGGGTGCTGTGGGATGATCACAAGCTTAGCTGTCCCTGGGGCAGGGACTGTTCAGGAGAGCACAGAGGGACCACGGAGGTGGCAGAGCTGTGGGATGACCTGGTGCCACCAACTGCTGGAGACACACTTACCCACCCCAAACTCTGGGCACTGCAAAGGAACCCCATGACCATTGTCCTGGAGGTGGAGGGCCCTGGTGAGGACACACCTGGCCCACCCCAGGGCTCTGTGAACTGCAAGGAGCCCCCAGGACCGTGCTGATGATGCTGGAGCTGGGGAAGGGGCAGGCACGGACCCCCAGGGCCAGCAGCAGGGCGGTTCGGAGGGCAAGGACGGTGGGGCAGTGCCGGAGCTGCTGCCGGTGCCGTGCAGCGAGGAGCGGGCTGCGGGCCGGTCGGGAGCGGGTTCTGGGGCGCTGCGGGCCGATCGGGAGCGGGCTCCGGGGCGGTACCGGTAGCGGCCGATCGGGAGCGGGCTCCGAGGCTGTGCCGGTACCGGCCGATCGGGAGCGGGCTCCGAGGCTGTGCCGGTACCGGCCGATCGGGTGCGGGCTCCGGGGCGGTACCGGTAGCGGCCGATCGGGAGCGGGCTCCGAGGCTGTGCCGCTGCCGATCGGCGGCTCGGGAGGCGAGGTGCTGGTGGGAGGCCGGGCCCGGGCGGTCTCCAGGCAGTGGCCGGGCCCGCTCCCAGCTGGGATGTTAGCGCCGTGTTTGCGAAGAGTTAAGGAGGCGGAAGAGGCAGGAAGCGGCCCGAACCGCTCTCCATAGAAACCCGCGGCCGTGATTAAAGTCTGATGCGGGCCCGATAGCGGGGGGAGGGGGGGGGGGCAGCGCCCGCTTTAATTACAGCGGAGGAAATTGCTGGAGCCGGGGCCCCAGCCCCTGCGAGTTGCCTGGAAACTCCCCCTTCCCCCGCCTCCCCCGGCCCCTGCCCGTCCCCTGCCCGTCCCGCTGCCATTTATTCGCCATCAGCTGCTCCCTGATAAAGTGGAATAATAATAATAATAATAGGGGCAGGAATATTAAAACATGCAGCCCGCGGGCCGCCCCCACAGCTGCCATGAGACACGGCACCGGAGCGGTGCCACTGCTGCTCAACATGTACCTGCCAGGTACGGGCGGATCCCTCGGCCGCTGCCCCACCGCAGCGCCGTGCCCCGCACAGCGCCCAGCCCCTGCCCACCCTGTCCCGCTGAGGCCCTGGGGCTCTCCTCTGCCCCGTCTCCTTCCAGCGCCCACCCTGTTATCCCCTCTCCCTCTGTCCATTCTCTCTTCCTGCCTTCCAGCACCACAACCATCCCTTCTTCCTTTCAGCTGCCCTCACAGCTTGCCACATCCGCACACTCATCTTCCCATCCTTCATCCACCCACCGTCACCCTCCTTCCATCTCTTCGTCCACCTTTCTTTTCTTCCAACCCATCTTTCCATCCACCCACCCACCCTTCCCCTGTGCTTCCATCCATTCTTCCACCCCACCCACTTGTCCCTGCATCCCCCTTTCCATCCCTGGTACCAGCCAACCCCTCCATCCACCCAACGTCCCTTCCATCAGCCTGTTTTTCCATCATCTTATCCATTACCTGCCCTTCCATCCATCGATCTCTCGCACTTTCTTTCCTCCACCTACCCACTCACCATCGTCTCTTCCGTCCTTCCATCCATTCACCCATTTCCTTCCTTCTATCCATCTGTCCGTTTATCTCTCCTTTCCACAGCAGTCCACTCCCCAAATGCCGACAGACATCCTCGCTGCCACCCGCCGCTCCTGTCACCCATCCTGCCACCCACCCGCCTCCTCTCCCTCTCCCCCTGCCCCACACCTCTCTCCCTCACTCCCTTTCTCCTCCATACCCCAGCCCACGGGATCGTCTATTCCTATTTAAAAGCTTCCCCGGCTGGGTCGGAAATCGGATTTCCTTTTTCCTGGACGCGTTTCCTGGCTTCGCCGCAGCGGCGGGGCAGGCAAGGGGGAGCGGCCGGGGGCTGCGGGGACGCTGCCCGCGGGTGGGCGCTGGGCTGTCGCGGTCCCGCCTGGTTCCAGCCCTCTCTCCACGCCACCCGCGTTCCCTTTTTCCCCCCAGATCCAGTCGGGGAAACTTTGTTCAAAGACGGGAAGAGCCAGGCGTGGGGGTCTCTCAGCCCCGGCGTGCAGAAAGGTAAGAGCACCGCTGCCCCTTCCCCTGGACAGGCCCCGCTCCCCTCGGCCGGCACGGAGCGGGGACCCCGGGGCACCCGCATTCTCTCCCGCCAGCAGCCAGCGGAGCCCCTTTGCCGTCCTTTGCCGGGCACTGTCCTTGCAGGACACGGCCACACGGAGCCCCCGTTCCCTGCTGCTGCCAGCGCCTCCGGCTCGGAGCATCCGCCGCCAGTTCCCGCGGGGACAGCGGCCAGCCCCGACGGTCGGGAGCTCCCGTCCGAGGCATCAGAGAGGAGCGGGGAATGCATCCCCCCGAGCCCCGCAGCGGGGAGAGTGCGGGGTCCCAACTCCGGTCTGCCGGGAGCTCCGGGACATCCGACGGGAGGGAGCTGCCAGCCATCTCGGGAGCGGGGCGGGCTGATCCAGGCTCGGGAGATCCGCTCCTGCGAGTGCAGAGGAGAGTTGGGACATCATTCGTGAGGGAGCTGCCACTGAAGTGCTGGAGCTCGGGAGTGATGTGTCCCCGGGAACCGGAGGCATCCATCTGGAACAACCCGAGCAGGGGTCACGGGCATCGGCCAGCGCTGGCCAAGGAGCAGCCTGGAGCTGCCAGTGCCGGCCAGGGAGCAGCCTGGAGCTCCCAGTGCTGACCAGGGAGCAGCCTGGAGCTCCCAAGGATAACCAGGGAACAGCCTGGAGCTCCCAGTGCTGATCAGGGAACAGCCTGGAGCTGCCAGTGCTGACCAGGGAGCAGCCTGGAGCTCCCAGTGCTGATCAGGGAACAGCCTGGAGCTGCCAGTGCTGACCAGGGAGCAACCTGGAGCTGCCAGTGCTGACCAGGGAGCAGCTGGAGCTCCCAGCGCTGACCAAGGAGCAGCCTGGAGCCTTTTTGGGAGCGCAGCAGCACTGGGGGTCGTGGGGCCAGCATTGTGGTGTTTGGGCCGTGTAGCTTGCCTGTTTGCTAGGAGGCAGGGACCAGGGACTCCCCTGAGCAGGAAAAATGGAGCCCCGGTTTAGTGGTGGGAGGGGGAGAAAAGATGGACCTGGGGGAGCCCTTGTGCTTCTGCACTGCAGACTCTGCCCAGCCATACTCTAAACACTGTGCTGCAGTGAGAGGGATCTTTTTGGACGCCTGGATATTTCCTTAGGGAGCTCTCAGGTGCATTATCATGTGCTGCACCGTGCAGCAGGCAGGACTGAGCCTCACCATTCCACCCAGATCCACCCCCCAAGACCTCCCTGACCTCCTTGCATGGGGTGGAACACCCACGGGTGGGAGATAGCTGGAGGCCAGGGTGGGGCTGTGATGGTGGAGAAGGGGCAAGGGCTGCAGATGCACCCTAGGGAGGAGAGATCCCCTGCCTTGGTCCCAGGATGGGGAATTAGGAAATACAACACCTTGGAAAGACCTGGGCTCAGCTGCCTGGGTCAGGATGTCTGAGTGGGTTTTGGTGGAATGGGAATCAATGGGGAATGGCTGTTCCCTGCTTCTTCTAGAGCAAGATACAGGGAGAACAAGATAAAATAGGTGGGTCTACAACAAGAACAAGATTTTTTTTGCTGGGAAATGTAGCAGAGCTGTAGGACTTCTTGTTGCTGAGGTCATGGGTCCTAAATCTCCGTATAGGATCCAAGCACCTTTACACAAAATCATGTTAGAAGAGCACAGGGATAACTGCAGAGGCACATCCTCTGCTTTGGAGAGAGACTGTGCTGCAAGGAGTGGCATCAGGAGCAGGGATGTGCAGGGGATGTGCAGGGAATGCTGCTCAGAGGAGGCAGTGGGGTGCCTAGGGAAGTGCAGGGCTGCTCTGCAGGGTGGCCGGGTCCCAGCAGTCGGATTCTCTTTGCACAAAGGTCCAGATTCCCTCTCCTCTCATGACCTCTGGCCAGACCCGAAGGAGCACGTCCTTGTGTTTCACCATGGGTGTGTCGAGTGTGCCAGGCTCCAGCGTGTGCACAGCCTGGCACAGGGGCACCACGGGCACCCACCAAGGAAACTCCTTGGTGCAAGCTGCAGGTGCAATGGCCATGGCTCAGGGAGGACACTTTTCCTCCAGAAATGAGGAACATCATTGATGCCTAATTCAAAGCCACAGTAGGTCACGCTCTGTCCCCATCTCTCCCTCCCCTACACCTATCTGTGTCTCTCTGTGGTGTAGTTCAGATGAGTGTTCCTCCCTGACTTGAGTTGACCATGGAGATATCTGTGCAGGGCACAGTGTCCCTAGAGCAGGGGATGTGAGAACAGCCCAGTTTCCAGCAGACATGGCAGTGGGGAATGCTTGTGTTGGGATGGATCTGGGTTCTGCCAAGATAGGTCCTTCTTGGGGCTGCTGATAAAAGAACAAGGCCATGTCCTCCCAAAAACAAACAAGCAGGTGTTCATCCTCAGTGGTGCATGAATGTGGGCGGGATGGATGGGGAGACTGGATCTCAGAGTCCCACTGCAACCTGTGTTGACCTTTGAGCACTCCTACTCCATCTCAAGATGCAGAGGCATCTTCTTCTCATATCTGGGGGTGTAGGATGGGGTTGGGATGTTGAAAAGGAGACATAACCTTGTTACCACCTTATGTGTCTCTAAAGCAGGGAAGATGCAATGAGGTGCAGCCAGAACCTGGGTGTGGGAGAGGGCGACTAACAGTGGGTCAAGGGGATTGGGGCACATCCTGTCCCTCACCCTGTGCTCTGGGAAGGAGCTTTAACCTCTCTGGGGCCCGGCCTTGCAGGCAGCGGGCAGATCCAGCTGTGGCAGTTCCTGCTGGAGCTGCTTTCGGACCGGGCCAACCTGAACTGCATCGCCTGGGAAGGCACCAACGGGGAGTTCAAGCTGATCGACCCCGACGAGGTGGCGCGGCGCTGGGGCGAGCGCAAGAGCAAGCCCAACATGAATTACGACAAGCTGAGCCGCGCGCTGCGCTACTACTACGACAAGAACATCATGACCAAGGTGCACGGCAAGCGCTACGCCTACAAGTTTGACTTCCACGGGTTGGCCCAGGTGTGCCAGCCGGCCACCCCCGACCACGCCCTCTACAAATTCCAGGGCAACCTGGCACCGCTGCCCTTCTCGGGCATCTCCAAACTCAACCTCATGACATCGGGAGTGACGCCGGCCGGCTTCTCCTACTGGGCTGGCTCCAGCCCGTCCCTGTACCCGGGGCACGGGCTCCAGCCCTCAGCCTCGTTCAGCGCCATGGCAGCCTCCCACCTCAACAACATGAACAACCATTACCATTAGGGGCTCGGCTGTGCCGCCTGGATGCTCCATGGCCCTGGCAGCGTGGGGCTGCGGATTTGGGAAGCTCAGCAGGGAGGGGTGGGGGATGGGATTGTGCCCTGCTCTCACTTGGCCCCTTTTATGTTTGATGTGGTGTGGGGGATGGGGGGTGCTCGCAGGAAAGTTGGGTTTGTTCTCTGATGTGGGTGGCTGGAGGAGGGAAGCCATCTAAATTTAAGATGAGGAAGTATCCATGATCCTGGGAATGGATGTGGATACCTAAAGCAGGGTGTGAATGGAAGCAAAAACCATGGGCTCCTCTCCTGGCAGGGCCATTGCCCCACCTTTCCTTTGTACCATGCTGTCCATGCCATGAATGTCCCTAGCTCTGCCTCCAGCCTCTGCCTGCCCTCCAGGAGCTGGAGCCCCAGGGCAGCTGTGTCCATGAATGAGGGTCCCACTGAGCAGGGACAAGGAAAGGGAACCTTCCTTGACCACTTGGTCCCCTCACCTTTGTCTCCAAAGGCTTTGTTTCCTCCAGCCCTCCTATACCTGCTTCCTAAAGGTGACTTCCTTCGGACCTCAGGAGAAGCCTTGGTCTGGAGAGCAGATGCTTTCTGTGGGTTCACTCAGATCCAGGCAGGGCTCTGGGGTTGGAGGTGTCAGGGACAAGTGTGGGGCTCCCCCTCAGGGCAAGACCAGAGCCTGGAGGCAGCATAGCCTGGTCTCTGCAGCTCTGCCCTCTCCCCAGTGCCCAAGGATTACACTACGGACAGTCCCTGACACCCTGCACATGAGCCAGTGTCCTGCTCATCACTTCCTAGATAAATGTTCCAGTTTTACTCCAGCTTTAGCCTCTCCCATGCAGGGCTTGGTGGGACACCCTCCATAAGTGGGAACATCCCCAGGGACAAGGCAGTGTGGGTGGTGGAGCAGAAGAAGGGATGACAGCAGGCCTGGGAGCCCCAGGCACCAAGGGGCAGTCCTGGATCTCTCCCCTGGGTTCAAGGAGCTGCCCCCATCCTCTGGAGCAGGACTTTGGCCCAGTGGATGCACAAGAGCTGGGCACGCTGAGCTCCGCACTGGCTGGGGTGGGGTTGGTGTTCAATAAAACAGAGAGGTGCTGTCACCTGTGTCCTCTCCTGTCTGAAGGGAGCTGGGGAGAGGGGGAACCACTCAGCAAATCCTCTCCCATTTGAGCCAGAACACCTTCAGGGCTGGGGTGGGAAGGATGTGGCCATTGTCTGCATCATCTTTTCTCCAGGCGTCACCTCTAGTTCTTACAATCCCCAGGAGAGAGGACAGAGCTGGAAACCTCTGGGTTACCTGAGATTCCCCTTCAGGAAAGCCACACATGCTGTTCTCAGGCTCCCAGGATTGCAACAGGGATCAAACCAGCTGTGCAAGGGGATTCATGCAGCTCCCCAGCCCATGGAAGGAGTGACCAGCCCCCACCTCCTCTCCCTTCATTCCCCAGACCCCAGCAGTTCCCACATCTAGGGGCTCCATGCTGCCCCTCCTGCATCCCTCCAGGGTCTGGTCACTCACAGCCTTGGTGGCATCTGCTCCAATGCATCCTTACTGCCCTAATCAGCTTAAGGGAGTGGGATCTGATGTCAGTGTGTCCTCTGGGGAAGGCTCAGGCTGTGAACTGGGGGGGCTGATGCAGAGAATCCATGAGAGCAAAAGGAGTTGCAGGCACTGGGCAGGGGGCTGTCCCTGCCTCCAGGGTTTCCGGGTGTTACACAGACTGTTCCCAGGCACGGCAGGAGGTGAAGTGAGGGGGAAAAGGAGGAGTTACCCCCACACAACCAGCGCCGAGGCAGGCTGGAGACATCCCCTGCCCGCAAGTTTCACTTAGCAACGGCAAAATGGGGGAAATGGCCACAACGGCTCCCTCAGAGACGGGGCAGAGGCTGTGTCCTCGCCGGGGGAGCTGCTCGGGGTTTAGGTAACTGCGTGACGCAGGGCAGGACGCGGATTAAGGGATGTGGGTCACTAGGAGCGGCTCCCTTCCCCCTTCCCGTCCCTCTGCCGCGGCTGCACCGGGGAAGCCCAGGTGAGTCCGGCCCGACCTTGCAGCCCGGATCTCCGATGATTGGAGGCGGGACACGTTGGGAAAGGGGGGACTTACCTGTTCGGGAGAAGGAGGGCGGCCGCACACACCCGGAGCAACAGGCTGAGCTGCTCCGCTCTGCTCCGAGCCCAGCTGGCACCGTCCCAGCGCTCTGTCCCCTGGGTGCCACGCCAGAAGCCGGACACCAGCCCTGCTCTCCCGGGGACGGCAGCCGGGAAGGAGGCGGAGCGGGGACACCCATGCCGGGCTGCACCAGCGACGCTCTTGCCTGCCTGAGGATGTAGCCGCCGTCACCACGGCAACGCGGGATGCTCCCATTCCCCAGGCCCCACTGGGAGCCGCCTCCCCTCACATGTTGAGCTTATCGGGGGGCTGAACAGAGCACCAGCTTCACCCAACCCAGCCTCCCTCCTCCTCAAAACCCTGTCTGACCCAATCCACCAGCAGTGCTGCTTTCTGCAGGTTTCCTCAGTCACCAAAACCACAGGCTCGGAGCAGACTGCAGCAAAATCCTGCCAATGGGCAAGCAGGGCCGAGCCCAGCACAGCTCCCCCTGGAACATCATCCCTGGCCCTGGGCAGGGGTGCCCAGCCCGGGGGACAGAGGGGCAGCACCGTGTGTGGCTGTGGGGTGCACCAGCTGGTGGGGAGCCCATTTTGTGTGGCTGAGAGCTGCACTCAGTGCACCCGTGGGCTTCCAGCCTACCTGAGGGGAGTCCTTGGGTGCCCTGTGTGGGGTGAGATGGGGAACACTGTCCCAAAGGGCTTCAGCCTGTGCTGGGAGGACTGAGGGAGCAGAGCACATGGCCCAGCAGCTTCCTCTGCTGCCCTGTGGTCAAAGGAAGAAGGATTTTTTTTTCTTCCTACTGAAAAAACAAAACCAACAAAGTATCTTTGTGTCTGGCTTTGCTCAGCTGGCAAGAGAGCTGCCCTGACCTCAGCCTCTTGCCAGCACAACAGGGGGACCTCTCCAACTCCTCCAAAATCTTCCAGCCACCCCATAATGTACCAGAGGGGGAATGGATTAGTCCTTCTCCTCTTTTAGTGAAGTCATGTTGCCACAGTCTTCATTCCTCATGCTGGGAAGAGCCTTTGCAGCACAGCCAGGCCATGTCTGCCCTGGGGGACACAGCCTGCCTCCCTGCCCACTCCTGCACCCTCTCCAGCTACTCCCACCTCCTTCCTTCTCTCCTCATCCCAGCTGCACTGGCTCCTCAGCCCCCCACACCCGAGCTGCTGACTCACATCCTCTCTCCAGACACCACCTTCTCTTGGCCTGGCTCCCTGCAAAGTGCTTCGTGACTGTGTGGCTCAGCCAGAGCCTGCAGGTTCAGGCAGCCTGGCTCCAAACCCCCTGTGAAGTCCCTCCAAGAGAGCAACAGGGATGCTTCCAGAAGATTCTCTTTCCCTTGGCAGTGTGCTGAGGGCTGTAGTGCCCCCATAAACCCAAACCTTTTCTGTGCTGCCACCTCCTCTCTGGTGCCCATCAGGGGTGGCCAGGGAGAGTGTCCTGGTGCTGCTGCTGCCCAACTGTACACTGAGACCTTGGTGTGGGCTTTGCTGAGGGCAGGAGGGCTGGATTAATGCACTAATGCCAGATTATGCTCTAATGCAGGCCTTCTGATGAGGGAGCAGTCCCTGTTCCAGCCAGGGGACACTCATGCCCTGGGGCAGACTCCCCACATCTGCCCTGGGTCACAGCTGGGCTCTGCCTGGCTGTCCCCTAAGGAGCCAAGTCCTCAGAAGTGACAAAGGACAGTGAGACAGGCAGGGGACACAGCACAGGGAAGCCTCCTTGCTCAGCTCTCAGTGGGCTGGAGGTAATGACCCAGCCCATGCAGCCCTGGCCTTCTGCTCTGCCAGGCTCTGTGGCAGCAGGATCAACCATCCCAGCAGGACTCCAAGGCAGCCAGTTCCCCTTCCTCACCTGCCCAGCCTCCTGGCACCGAGCTGTTCCCAGTCTGTGCCCTCATTCCCAAACACATCAGCCAGGCACTGCCTCAGGCCGTGCTTTAGCTATAGCGGGAACCAAACTGCTGCCACCCCACCTTCCTCAGTCCCATGCCTGCCACTGGGCCACACAGGCAGAGCTCTTGCAGCCTTCCACCCAACCTGGATGTGACTTCCATCAGATGAGACCCTGTGGCAGCACCCTGCCCCTCCCTGAGCACAAGTATCTCATCAGCCAATGTAGTCTGGGACCCCCTGTCTCTCTCTGCCCTTGCTGCCATCTCCCTGGGCCATTCTGCCCCCAGGCCCCGTGAGCAGCTGTGACTGAAGTGCCACAGAGCAGGAGGTGACCAGAGCCCTGCCCCCATGAGCCATCCCCATTTCAACAGGGCAGCAACAGCCAAAGCTGCAGTGGAGCCAGGGCTCCAGGGGCTGCCACAGAGGCAAAGAGAGACCTCCCACTCCCATCTGCCTCGAGGAACATCATCCAGCATCCCTGCAGGGAAATGAGGAAAGGCTTTGCAGGAAGCTGGGCCAAGGCAGGTCCTTCAGCAGCCAAGCAGGTGCTGGGTCTGCATCATCCACAGCGTTTTCCTCCCATGGAGCATCTCCAAGTCATTCTGGGGGAGGATGACAACTCTTAATAGCTAAACCACGGCTTCCCTGCTGTTTGTGTGACATGGAAGAGGCATGGCTTGCCAGGCTGGCTGCTCCAGCTGCCTGTCACCCTCCCTGCCCCAGTGCTATGGCCAGCCCATGGAATTTGCTCCACAGACAGAGCACCCAGGCAAGCAAAGTCCCACAGAGCTTTTTCCATGACTCTGGGCAGAAACTCCCTTTTTCACATGTGACTATTCATCCTTGGGACCCACTGCCAGCCAGGGTGCATCCAAGAGCCCCGTGCACCTTTGGGAAGGAAGATAAGGGTGCTCTGGCCTGAGCAGAGACCTCCCTGGGGCAGGAGGAGCTGAACCACTGTGGGCTGCAGTGCCCATCTCTGCTGCTGCACTGTGGAGCAGATGGG